TATAATGTCGAATGAAACTGTAGTTATATCAAAATGAAACTGTAGTTGTATGTGTTGATCGAAATGAAACTGCAGTGTATATAAAATGAAACTGAATATGTCGTACAAACATAGATACTTTATGCGGAATAGATGTTTTTCTTTTCATTAAAAGGAACGGTATTGTTTTTGGACCATAATCCAAAATGCTTTGTGAACCATGATTCTCAGTATAATTTGCCAATTACCTAGTGCTGGACTTTACTTTTTTTTGTGCTCCGCCCAACACAGTGGTAATGTCTGCAGTTTACACTATCCTAGAGTGTGTGTGCCATATACTAATGTTGAATGTCAGGTCACAGGCATCATCTGCTGTGCATGTAGAGAGTGAAATATATCTACAATTCATACACTTCATCTGGGAAACGTGATCCATCTCTTTTGACTAGCTAACTTTAAAAAGCTAATATAATATGTCATCGAGGATATCAGCAAGATAGCGCCATCATAAAAACCACAGACGAAAGTTGTTATAATTTATAAGTGAAAGCATATGTTATAAGAGCATTCTCATTAATTTAAGGTTTTTTTTTAAAAAAAAAAAAATTATTTTAAGTGCCAATAAGGGAAGAGAGTAGAAGAGGAAATGCAAAAGGAAAAATAAAATAGGAGAAAAACGAAAAAAAAAAAAAAAACTATCAAGTTTTACGTGCGTAGTATTACTGTAATTAAATATTTCAATTCCTATAGTTGTATGACTTAGATTAGTTGAGCTAGTCTTTAGCCTATTGTATAGGGACTTCTATAGCTAGTATTATTGTATCAGGTTTTAGTTTTTTTTGAACAAGTATCAGGTTTTAGTTAATTGAATTAATGAATACTTTTCCAATCTCATCAATATTATTGTATGACTTAGATTAGTTGAGCTACTCTTTCGCCTATTGTATAGGAACTTCTATAGCTAGTATTATATAATTTCAATTAATCTACACGTTAGTCGTTACTAGTATCCAAATCCAAATATAGAAGAAAATTAAAGCAAACACTTTATGAAAAATTGTAAGGTCAATAATACATGTCAATAACTGAGTAACTAAACTTGTTACGGAGTATTTCGTATATATAAGATTCAATATACTAATGAAAAGAGAAAAATGTGTCATTTAATTATTATTGCACTACACTTTTTCAATAGGGAGCTGGATCAGAAACAGGATGTGGTATCTTCTTGTCCTTGAATGAATCTAAGTACTGTTAATACCATCATCTTCTCATCACCAAAATTTCTCCTTTCTCCTGACAGGCACCAAAATTTTTCCTTCTTCAAAGATGCTGTGAAACTGATCAATTTAAGGAGCAACTTACTAACAACTTCATCTTTTATGCAACAAAGATTCATTGTCGTGATCAGGTTGTCTTCATTTAACACGGTATCAGCACGATTGCTCTCGGATTGATACGGGACATTCTTGGACTGCTGGTAACTCGTCGCAGGAATACTTGTACTAGGTTTTATGAACTGCCCTTTATTCCACCAGAACTCTTCACCCTCGTCATCTAGCAGATGGGGTGGAGTTAGAGGGCTTTCCATTGTTTCCAAATCCACATTGCATTCAAGATAATCTGCCCCAGCCATTGCCAAAGCTTCAATTGATACTGACATGGTTTAATTTCCAATGTAATCAAAATACTATCGGCTATAAAGATGTGTTTTTTCCTTTGATGATGTTGATCAAACCTGCAGAAGATCAGGCCATATTTATACCAAAAAATATTGGGAAAATTTCAATCCTTCCCTCAAAAATCACGTTCTTCAATTCCCTGCTGAAGGGGCAAATAGTTAACGCATATTATAACACAACAAGCCCGTGAATGTTGGGTTGATGTATATATATATAATCTGCTTCTATATATTGTTGTAAAAACCACCTCAAAACTACTGTGTTTTTCCTTTGATACGATTGTCAAACATGCAAGCCTTTATTTATACCAAAAGTTTTAGGAAAGTGGTCCAACCTATTTCCCCTCACAAATCACGTTTTTGTCAAGGCAGATTATATTGGATCGGAGCGAGGGCATAGTACACGGTTAACACAGTAAGCCTGTGACGACTTTGTTGGGACTTTTAGGTTGAGTGCATTATGTTCGATCTTAAGTTGGTTATTAATTATATCACAGTTATCACGTTTTTCACCTTGTCGTTTTATTTTATTTTTATTTAATTTTTTTTTTTAAATTATTGTTATTTATTTTTTAAAAAAATTATTATTAAAAATGCCAACTCAGCTGCCACGTAAGCAGGTAATCTGCTAAAATTGATGGTAACTTGCTTTCAGGTGAAATTGCATATATTTGGAGAGTTCAGTGGTCTAATTGTACGTTTTTGGAGTGTTTAGTGACTTAATTACACTTTTTGTTCATTTAATTGCATAATTGCATTTTCAGGTTACGTTCAGTAGCTAATTTGAAACTTATTCCAAAAAGTTATAAGTAATTTGTACAAGGTTGTGATTGGGTTGGGCTTAGATAGGCCCATGGAAACATAGCCCACATTTCCATTTTTATCTTAACCAAATAAGTACGAGTAATGAAAAACTTTGGAAATTTTGGGAGATGTTTAGGGTCGTTTACTTCATTTCTCTGTTTTTCTATCTCCAGTTTTTTATTTCTCCATTTTTCCAGTTTTTCATCTCCATTTCTCCAATTTTCTAATTTTCATTCCATATTCCTCCCGTTTTTCATTTCTCTAATTTTCTGATTTCATTAAATACAATGTCATATATCATTTGTACATTTCTATAATAATAATAATAATAATAATAATAATAATAATAATAATAATAATAATAATAATAATAATAATAATAACAACAACAATTAAAATAATAATAATAATAATAATAATAATAATAATAAAACAAATCTGTAGGGAGGAGGAAAAAAGAAAAAAGAAAAACAAATAATAATAATAATAATAATAATAATAATAAGAGCGTAAAGGAGAATAACAAAGAAAATGAAAAAGACTTCTAAAATGTGCACAGCAGGATTCAAACAATAGACCTCGCTGATTATGTACTGTTCATTCAAAATTTTTCCACTCCTCCATTTGGAGAAGTCCAAATCTTCTTTCTCCAAAATTGTACATGAGGTTGGAAAATGGAGAAGGAGAAAGCATTTGGAATAAGAAACTTAGTAAACAACTTCTCCAATTTTTATTTTTTCCACTCTCATTTTCTCTATTTTTTTTGGAAAATTCTCTATTTTTCCAAGTTAGTAAACGACCCCTAGTCTTCCATTGGATAGAAAATGTTTAGCAATTATTATTACATGGACCATGACACACAATTCTGTGGACCATAAATAAAAAGTACATTTTTAATATATTAAGGATATATTATTTACGTACGTAAAATACATTTTTAATATACTAAGACTATATTATTTTATATAATGTATTTTCAGTACAAAAATAATGTACTTTTAATATATTAAAAATATACCTGATATTCATTGTGCACAATAATTTGCCGATGTTTAGTAGTTGGATTGGTTCTAGCTTTGGAGTGATTAAAATTTTAAAATTTTGGGATGGTTGTACTCGGCCCAATTCCACTAGTTCATAGTCGAAGGGGGAAAGGCCAAAATTCTTAGTAACTCCTAGGATATATTGTGGAGAGAATAAACAAGCTAGGATGAGGTAATAAGGAGTACATTGGGGCAATATCATTGACACATGCAAGAGATGGAAGGTGAAGGATTGCGAGATTACTATTAAACATGTCTATAGGGAGAGCATGTACTCCATCTCAATTAAAAACCTATGCTGATAGTTGAATTGCACATTAATAGCTATATGCTCAACACTACGAACCAAATGTCCACTAAAGTTTTGTCATAAAACTAATAGAAACAGTTAAGAACGGAATAGAATATAACTATATCTTTGCTGACGTAAATAATCGTGCACTATGATACGAGTTTAAAGATAGCTCCTATAGTTAAGTCTTAGGACACTTTGTAGGTCTAAGAAAACAAGATGCATCCCGTATCGAGAAGATAGCTAACTTTAACGGGCACTTCCTTCGACCCAAATTGAAACATGCCAAAAATGTAGGATCTTGATTCTACATTTGTTTAAAATAACCTTAAAACTATAAACAAATGTTAAGTGCATTCAAAAAAAAAAATTAAACAAATGTTAAGTGCACAATATGCTGTCGGCTGATGTATTTGCACCTCTCTGATCAAATTCCCAGATCCTGCTACAAACCTTTCTGTATCAGAACATAGATCACTTTCACTGTTTGTAGTGGGCACTAAGTAGCATTCTTTTCAACCCCCACTTCAATTCTATCTAGTTTATAAAAATCAGTTTTTATCCCACTCAAGTTTATCTTCCACCCCTTTCCCAAACCAAAATTATTGCTGAGAATGAAAATAATGAAATCAACCCTGCAGCTACCACCATAATGCATTGGAATGATCACAAATATCTCTCATCTTAAACATCAAATGATACAGTACTCAAATCCAGACTTTGGCCCTGTTTGGTAAAAAATTAATTTATAGGCCAATTTTGACTTATTTGACCACTATTAATTGTTTGATTTAGTTAAAATATTAATATAAATGTTTGGTTAATTAGTTTTTTGCAACTCCAAAAGGCTAAAATTTAAAAAGCTACTCCTAGCAGCTTTTTCAATTAACTTTTTGAGAAAAGAAATTATACCAAACAGCTATCAGCTAACAGCTAATTTACCAAACATTTTTTACAATTAGTTAATGTTATCAACTATTTATACCCTCTAATTAACATAATCAGCTAACAGCAAACAGGCATTTTACCAAACAGGGTCCTTAACTTTACAATCTCTCATGAAGAGATATGAAATCATATCAAACATCCTTAAATTTTGTCCAGTAAGAGTTAGCTCAATAATAATTTAAAGTCACCCTGAAAGTCTTACTCTAAAAAGGGGTAATGCATAACAATATGATAATAATGAGAAGCTACTAAATGAATCACAAAATAGAAAACCATTCATTTTATTCATATAGAACAAAACATAATAAGACTATGAACAACAACTTCATACTAAAGTTCATATCAAAGACCGAAGAAAGTTTCGAGCCCTAAACCATTTGCGGCATTAGGAGAAGGCCAGCCCAGGATTTCTTGGAAGCAATAATTGTCAATAGAGTCACAGTCGTCCTTAAGAAGTCGGTCCAAGAAGGCGTTATCCGACCCGCCTGAATTTGTATCTTTCTTCGCCGTGGTATCCTCTTCTTCTTCATCGTCCTCCGCCATGGGAACCGCCGCCGCCGCTTTTTCATCCTCCACTGCCGGCATATGGCCCTCGAACAGCGCCATATGGCCGAAGAGCTTATCCTTGCGGGAGAAGCTGGTCCCGCACGAGCATTTCCACTTGGTCTCCCCGCAGTGTTTAGCGTGGCTCTTCAAATCCGCCGGCACGGAGAAGCTCTTCTTGTTGCAGCGGTTGCAGGAGTAGAGCTTGGGGCAATGGCTCCGCCGGAAGTGATTCTTGACGCAGATTGCGGATTTGAGAGGCCGGAATTTCTTGTGCGTTTTGTTCCTCGAGCACCCGACGAACGGGCACGAGAACCGGGTTTTCCGGACCGGCCCGGATTCTCCGCCGCATTTCCCGGGCTTCGCTAACGCCTCCGCCGTCTTGAACTGGTTCCCGTGAGCTCGCATATGCATCCGGAGATTCGCGTCTCGCTTGAACCCCTTCCCGCATATCTCGCAGAAGTGGATGTGCTCCGCCAGCAGCTCCACCGCGTCCAGCTCGATGATTTCCCAGTCCTCGCCGCCGGATCCGCCGTCCTCCGCCGCGACCGCGATCTGGTCAACGATCTCGGAAAACAGACGTTTATTCGTCGATTTATGGTCAATAACTTGGGCGGACACGCCGGGGCTAACTTCATCCGCGGCGGCTTGGGTGGAAGCGAGGAGGGCGGCGCCGTTGACTATAATCTGGTGTATGGCGGCGGAGATCTCAGTGGACACCATGCCCATCTGTTCTTCTCCGAGGAGAATGTTGCTGGTGACGGAGGTGGAGAGGAACTTGTGGAGGGAGTCCATTCTTGCTTGGACGTTAGCAAGGTTCAGCAGAGGGTCAGCGCCGCCGACCGCGGCGGCCCCAGGTGGCTTGGTGGGGGGAGGTGTATGACGTAAGTCGCCGAAAAATGACATTTTTAGCGGCTAGAAGATTGCCGGCGATGGAAACCAATCGAAATGAAAGTAAAGAAAGAGATTTTTATATTTGGGCGTCGTCAGGATTGACTTCGCGAGAGGCGTATAGTGGAGCACCGAGAACTAATATGTTGGCACGTGTAATAGTGAATAAACAATTTTAACACGCTCAAATAGGGTCCGATGTTAATCGAAATAGGATTGGATAACATTGGATTTCGGCATTGTTGGATAAATGTCTTTTTTGACATACTATTGTGAAAAAAAGAAAAAAAAAATACTATCAAATAATAGTGATAGTGTAATTTAATTTCCGGCAGCGGCAGTGTGAGAATTATGTTCAAAGTGGACAGATTTCTTGTGCGCACCGGCATTTGGCCTTGTCTACTATCTCATTGAGTCACCGTGATTTACATCTTCCCACATGTTCTGATATGTCGGGTCGGAGTGTGGGGGAGCTCTTAGAGTTGGGGATTCAGCCTTTTTGAGGTAAGTGTAATTCAATTTCTATCTTAAAAAAATTAATTAGACTCTTAGCATCAATCACTTTTTCTATATTCTACGTTTAAAGAGAAAATTTGAATATTCTTATCCTTGAGCGTGCTTTGACAAAATCAACAACTTGAACCGTCCAATTGTCCGACCATTATTTGTCCACCGGCCAGGCACGCAAGAACTCCTAGCGATTTTACGTTAAAACTATTTTTCTTTCTCCGACTAAAATCTCTTTTTCTTCTATTCTTTAAGAAAAAAGGTAAGACTATTTATTTAACATAAATAATAATGCGTCACAATAATTTCAAAAAAGTGTCAAATTGGCTTATTAGTTATAACGAGTAGTACAATTATATTAGTTCCCCTAATTAGGAAAAAAAAAGTTAATATAACTCGAATGCAGTCCCCTTAACCAATAAAATAGTGTAATTAGATTTTAATATTACCTATTCAATATATTATTATTGTTGTGGTGTTAGCTAGACTAACATATGGCTTCTCGATGCTTACATGGATCCTATGTGTATTTTTAATTTTTAAATTTATAATTTTTTTAAAAAAAAAAAAAACGCATATCATTGTCAACAACTGAAGACTATTTTTGTTGCCGGTGATTAAAATGTCTAATTACATTATTTATTAAACTTAACATTTTTTTTTGAAAACACTACTAACCATAATTCTTTCATGCTCAAAGAATCAATGTATCCACTAGGCCACTAGTGTAGTTTGATCATGTGACTAGCAATTTGAAATGATAATAATCTAATAAAGGTATTATCGCACTATATAGTAATTTGCGCTAAGGCATAAATTTAAATTATTTAAGAATATCTAATCCGCTAAATCACAACTAGTAGTACTATAATAATTAAACTCAAAAATATGAAAGAAGAATAATATTTACTATTTAGCATCATCAAATGGGAGGACTCTTTCCAATTGATCTAATATTTATTACTCCAATCACTGCACGACCACTTGTGATAATTGCATATTATATTAAGGTCAATGCCTAGGTTTCTCCCAAGCGCGTTACGGGACCAATTAGTTTACTTGTGTAGCTGTGTTCATGAATCATACAACTCGCCAGAAATATAATAATAAGAATAATGCATAAAATGAAATTCAAAGATAGGCTACAATACTTTTTTTGACAAATAAGAACATTTAGAAAACATCAAATGTAGTTTTAAAGTGTATTGCTCATGTCACATACATACCTTTCTTATTAGAGCATTTCCAATAGTTATTTTGAGTGAGTTTTGTGGTGAGGTGAAAGGGAGAAGTGGTAGGTGTGAGAAAAACAATGAATTTGTAGAGATGAGGTTTTTATTTTTTATTTTTAAAAGAGTCATTGAACTGTTTAGACGAGCGATGACGAACATGCAGCGGCCTGTGAATATGCTATGTAATGGATATATTATGAGTGAAGCAAATTGATCCGGGAAGCGGAGCAAGCCCATGGGGCCTCAACCCATGAGGCCTCAGCCGGATTAGGGGTCTGGCTAAACATTATTCCAAAAGGCTGAACCCCAACCCTAAGGGCCCCCCACACCCCGCCCCGACAGAGCATTTTGGGAGGATGTAAATCATGGTGACTCAACTGAACATGAACCATAGAGGCTAGACCGGTGCTCACTGCGCACAAGGAGCCCCCCTCACTTTGGGAGGTTGCTCCCACACTGCCGCTGCCGCTGAGGTCGGGCTAAACATGCTCGGCCGAGAAGTGGTCGGCTGGTCAAACGGAAGATCCGGGGCTCGGGCGCCGGACACGGTCAACTCGGATCTAACCAACCCCGCCATTTTAGGGGGTGGTTAAGGGGCATAGCGTGTATCATATCAATACCCTTCATATTGTCTTAACAAGACATCTTCATCACTATTGTCCTAATCAACCGTTGTAATAACGTGTTTACCATCATTTAATACAAGATACGCTTTCCGCGACTTTACGACATCGTTTTGCCTATTTATTTATTTCTTATATACGTTCTTATCGAGTTTAGTGATTCGGGTCCACCCCGGGTAATTAAATCCATCACTATGATTGTGGCCTTTGGCCTTTGGGACGATTAGCCAATTATAAATTTAGGGCTTCTGATATGACCCAAGTAGTATAGATCATGGAACAAATAAGATTATCCAAGAACGTTCTCAATTCAATGCTACTGAGTAAATTACATGTAGTTGCACGAAATATCTCTTTAGTTCCGAGTCCAATCGGGTTTCCATTGTAATATATGGTAGCTTCAAGAATTCACGAGCAATCTTCAATATAGCATGTCTAGTTATGCCCCCTAGGAAGATTATGAAATTGAACTCCAAATAATAATTCTAGAAGGTTGAAGAAGCAAGAAGTTAATCAAGGATTAAAACATACACTTTGAGTGTAAAGGTGATGCTTGAAAATAATTCAAATGTATTTCATTAAATCAAGACTGAAGAATAAAGGGGTAGCCAAACCCAACACTTATAGGAATAGGGTTAGGGTTTGGTCATACACATTTACTTGAAGGCAAGATATGTAATTTCCTAATCTACTTCTAAATAATTTGAAAAGCAAGAAAGGTAATTAGTTTAGGGAACGAAATTGAAGATCCCTTCCTTTCTCAAAAGATAATTACTCAAAATCAACACAAGTACAATTAAAATAATCTTTAAACTCTTGGTCTTCATTTGAGCTTGGACTTCTATTTAAATTTTACAATCTTTGCACATGTTCAATAAAGAGTTATCTTAACTAATTAGACTTGGACCTTATTTTGGGCCCAATTGACACTCGTAATGGATCCGTAAGTTGATCCGTATTAGTTTCCAATGTTGAAGATGAACTGATGGAGGTCTGATTTGGGAAGTTGGTGAAAGCATAAGGCCTAAAAGGACTAGTCGATTTCATAAGAAAACTAAACAAATTATATATATTTTTTGGAAAATTGTAAAAAATGCCCCTCTATAATATGTCAATTATCAATGTCACCCCTGAATTATGAGTGGTGTAAATGTTGCCCTTCAATTATCAAAATGACGCACATATAGCCCCTGCCGTAACGGACTCGTGGTTCCCCACCGCTGTCCATCGCTGTACTTTGAATCGAGGGAGGAAAAAAACAACTAAATTACATATTTACTCCAAATTAACAGTGTCGTACACTAACGGAGAACCACATGTCCGTTACGGGAGGGGCTATATGTGCACCATTTTGATAATTGAGGGGCAACATTTACACCACTCATAATTCAGGGGTGACATTGATAATTGACATATTATAGAGGGGCATTTTTTACAATTTTCCCTATATTTTTTTTTAAAAACGTACAGGTTGCGGGCCAAACCCACGTCCCGCCTCATCTAGGCTCATGGCCGAGGCCGCAAATTATGCTGTGCAACCGAATGCACCTTGCAAGGTGCATACGGTTGCAAAACGGCGCCGTTTTGGTTAAAAAAACGCGCTTCCCACTTAAAGATGAAATCAGGTTCGATTCCCGGCAATAGCATTTTTATATATCCAGAAATTCATAACTATATATCCAGAAATTCATAACTATATATCCACAGTGAATGAATGAAGTAAAAATTCACAATGAATGAATGAATGAAGTAAAAATCCACAATGAATGAATGAATGAATGAAGTAAAAATCCACAATGAATGAACTAAATATCCACAATACGGTTGCAAAACGGCGCCGTTTTGGTTAAAAAAACGCGCTTCCCACTTAAAGATGAAATCAGGTTCGATTCCCGGCAATAGCATTTTTATATATCCAGAAATTCATAACTATATATCCAGAAATTCATAACTATATATCCACAGTGAATGAATGAAATAAAAATTCACAATGAATGAATGAATGAAGTAAAAATCCACAATGAATGAATGAATGAAGTAAAAATCCACAATGAATGAACTAAATATCCACAATGATTGAACTAAATATCCACAATGAATGAACTAAATATCCATAAATTCATAACTATATATCCATAAATTCATAACTATATATCCATAAATTCACAACTATATATCCACAGTGAATGAATGAAGTAAATATCTACCATGAATGAACTAAATATCCACAATGAATGAACTAAATATCCATAAATTCATAATTATATATCCACAAATTTATAACTATATATTCAGAAATTCATAACTATATATCCACAATAATACTATTGACGAGAATCAAACCTGAATTTTTTTTTTTTTTAAGTGAGACGCGCGTTTTTAGTCAAAACGACATCGTTTTGCATCGTATGCACCATGCGCATGGTACATTCCGTTGCACGGCATAACTATTGGGCCGAGGCGAGGCGGGCTAAACAGCCCATCTCTTGACGTATTGTAATATTGCTGAATCAATTCCTACTTACGACAGAACTGGATAGCTAGATTGATGGGTCATTTTGACAGTTTATATATGCACGTTATTGTCATTACATGAGTAAAAAGATAGAATAAGTATAATTAATTTAAAGAAAAATAAAACAAAGGTTTAATTCATTGACATAACCTATTTTCACACTTTTAACTTTTAAAATAAAACATGAGAATAAAAATAAAAATTATAAAATTTTCTTTCTCCTTATTTGTGGGTCAAACTTGTACTGGGCTCTAATATTATTTGTAGCGTCCAATGCCCAAGGCTACAGGTAGCAATAGTTATGAGGTGCAACCGAATGCACCATGCCCATGGTGCATACGGTCCAAAACGACGTCGTTTTGACTAAAAACGCGCGTCTCATTTAAAAAAAAATTCAGGTTCAATTCTCGGCAATAGTATTATTGTGGATATATAGTTATGAATTTATTGATATTTAGTTCATTCATTGTGAATATTTACTTCATTCATTGTAGATATTTACTTCATTCATTCACTGTGGATATATAGTTATGAATTTCTGGATATATAGTTATGAATTTATGGATATTTAGTTATGAATTTATGGATATTTAGTTCATTCATTGTAGATATTTAGTTTAATCATTGTGGATATTTAGTTCATTCATTGTGAATTTTTACTTCATTCATTCACTATGGATATATAGTTGTGGATTTTTACTTCATTCATTCACTGTGGATATATAGTTATGAATTTGTGGATATATAATTATGAATTTATGGATATATAAAAATGATATTGCTAGGAATCAAACCTGATTTTTTTTTTAAGTGAGACGCGCGTTTTTTTAATTAAAACGACATCGTTTTGGACTGAATGCACCATGCGCATGGTGCATTCGGTTGCACAGCATAATTTGCGTACAGGTAGGGATTGTAATAAACTAGATTTTGAGTAAGAAATTATTTACAGAGTTTTGACAGCCATTGCTATTTTGATTACTTTGGAATCTGGAAACCAGTAACAGTACATTTTGATCGAGTAATAAATTTTAAGAGAATATGAATCATATATTCATATGAAATATAAAATTCGAATAAATAAAGAATATAATGGAAATTACATTGTATTATTTGGTTCCTAAAAGAAATTAATTTCAGAAATTAAATTCTAGTATTTGATTGAATTAAAAAATTGTAAAAATGTAATAAGCATTTAAACAATAAAATTACTCTCCACGGCACACACTACTATTACTACTACAAGTATGTTTACTACTACACATTACAATACATACAAAAATAAGCTATTAATTACTTAGTGCACACTCTCAGATATTGACCTTGAGTGTTTCTGGTCACCAAAAAATAACTAAGCAAAAGAAAATTAGGCATTTAACAAAATAAACCCTAAATAAATAACTACTATATAATAATAATAATAATAATAATAATAATAATAATTATTATTATTATTATTATTATTATTATTATTATTAAGGATAAATTAAGTACTACCAAAAATAAGTTAATCCCGAGGATTCGAGAATAACATAATATTATACCCTCTTGGAATAATTATTCCCCATTTCTCCTTTTTTCTGATAATAAAATTATTTACCAAATAACTGAATATGCTTATTACAAAAAATGCTATTATACTCTTGATCTATTTCGGAAAACTGAACATGTTATAATAGACTAACTTTTTAGGTCAGGTGTGGGACCTTAGGATTGGAGATTCAACCTTTTGGGAACAATAGACTAACTTTCATATACCATGTTTCTACACCTTAGTGTCACCTTAACTCATTAATTATATATTAAATAATTAAGACAATTTAGTAGTAGTAGTAAGTAGTAACAAAAATATTTAAGAATAAATTATGCATTGCCAAAAATAAGTTATTTATGAGAATTTGAGAATAACAAAATATCATACCCTCATCAAAATAGCTATTTATCTCATTTTCAATAATAATAAAATTACTTATCAAACAATAAAAATAGACCTATTACAAGGAATACTATTACATTATGAATCTATTCAGTGAACCAAAGATTATGAAATAGACTAACTTTCGTATACCATGTTCCTACACCATAGTTTCACCTTAACTCATTAATTATACATGAAATAGTTGAGATAAAAATTTTCATAGAATATTATTAAAAAATGTGTCAAAATTAATCATCTATTAAAGTTTGGCCCAACTAAGTGTACTGGGCTATCCCAAAGCTTTCACTGTTGAGAAATTTGGCCCAATTAACTACCACCTTGGGCAAATTATGCTCTGGACCCGTGTCCATATTGAATTGTGGACACGGGCCCAAAACGATGTCGTTTTTAAAAAAAAAAAACGTGTCATTTAGTTAAAAAAAAAAAATTCGCGCGTGTTTTGCCGTTAACGGCGTTAACGGCGTTATTTTTTTTTATTTTATTATGAATGTACAGTTATACCGTTATGAATGTACAGTTATGCAATTATGAAATTATGAACACAGAGCTCTAACATTATGAACTTACAATTATGAACATATATAGTGATAAAATTATGACCATGGAGCTTTAAAATTGTGAATATAGAGCTTCGAAGATTATGAATGTACAGTTATAGAGTTATGAATCTACAGTTATGAGATTATGAATCTACAGTTATGGAATTATGAATGTACAGTTATTGATCGAATTATGAACAAAGAGCTCTAACATTATGAACTTACAATTATGAACATATAGTGATAAAATTATGAACATAGAGCTCTAAAATTGTGAACATAGAGCTTCGAAAATTATGAATGTACAATTATGGAGTTATGAATGTACAGTTATGAAGTTATGAATGTACAGTTATAGAGTTATGAATGTACAGTTATAGAGTTATGAACGTACAGTTATGGAGTTATGAATGTATAGTTATTAACATATAGTAATAAAATTATGAACATATACTTCTATAACAAAGTGATCTGAAATTAAAAAAAAAAAAAAAAAAAAAAAAAAAAGAGATAACAGTGCCTAACGGCACTGTTACCCGTGTCCAGCAAGCATGCTGGACACGGGTCCAAGGCATAACGATTGCTTTCCAAGTTAATGACCTGGATCATCCAAACCTTGTCTTTACTATAATCCCCGGCAAATTGGTCCACACAGGATCATAACAAAAAGTACATTTTTAATATACTAAAAGTACATTTTTCGTTTATTGAATATACATTATATAAAATATTTATTTATTGAAGGGAAAATGGTCAAATAGGCCCTCGAACTTTAGCTTAAAAGTCAATTAGGCCCCTAAACTTTTTAAATGTGCAATTACACCCATCAACAATTCATTTAGGTTCAATGAAGCCCAAAAACAAGTTAATGACCTGCTATCACAGGTCATTAGTGTTCAGACCACCTTCCGGCGAATTTTCTGATAAAAAAAAAATGTGACCAGCAACCGACCCAGATTTGTCAAAAATTTCGCCGGCACTTCTTTTGTCGAAAATTTCGCCGATCACTTTTTTTTTTTTTTTTTTTTTTTTTTTTTGCCGGAAAATTCGCCGGAAGGTGGCCTGAACCCTAATGACCTGTGATAGCAGGTCATTAATTTATTTTTGGGTTTCATAGCACTTAAATGAATTATTGATGGGTGTAATTGCACCTTTAAAAAGTTTAGGACCCTAATTGACTTTTAAGCTAAAGTTCGAGGGCTTATTTGACCCTTTATATACATTATACAAAATAATATACTTTCAGTACTCAAATAATGTACCTTCCGCGAATACAATGCATATTTTTAATACATTAAATATACATTATTTGTGTACTAATGTATATTATTTGATAATATAATCCACACTGTTGTGTAAATCATGGTCCATACAATAATGATTGATAACAACTCCCCCCCCAACCAAATCCCCACAAACACCACCCTCAATAACTTCTCTTTGATTATTAAGTTAAGAAATATAATCATTAACAACAAAATCAAATTATATAAATACAAGTTGATTCTAATCATCACTAAAGAGTAAACAGGTAATTATTATATCTGTTGACATTTTAGTAAAGTTTAGTTAATTATATTATTAATATCATCACTAAATAATCCATTTAAATAAGTCTAGGCTCTCAGGATAGTTTATGGGCATGGAATCTTTTTTTTTTTTTTTTTTTAATGATCGATGAAGAATATTGAGCAGGAGTACAGTTTATCTATGACAAAGTAAGATTTTACAATTTATTTTAACAAGACAGCCTCGTATCCTCCTCATCTTGATTGACTTTAGTTACCTGTAAGATGGAACCTAAGTAAACAGATGATAGGCACACTTCAATGCTTGTATTTGTATGTATACTATCAAAGCTGAGCAGCCAAGGCTTCATATATACAGGTTAAAGTACTTTAATTAAAGAGTAATTAGTTGATATTAATCATACTTTATTCAAATCATTGCTAATAGTCAATCTCTTGTTTGAAAAGGAACGAAAGTCCACCTACTCACCAAGGAAATAGTCGCCTGGCCGGCATCATAGGCTGCTTTCAACTTTTTCCTATTTTATTTTTTATTAATTATTTTACTGCAGTATTATTTGCATAAATTTTATACGGAGTATTATTTAAGAAAAATTTGTTAGATTAACTTATAATATGATCAGTCAGTTAATTATCAAATAATATTTGATAAGTACGCGCACCAATGATTTTATCGTTTGACTTTTCGTGTGATCTGTCTATTGACTTTTTTGGTTTGAGGTGGTCAGCTATAAAAACTTAAGATAGTTTACCTACTTTTGGTCCTTTGTTGGTTACAAGGCGGACTTTACTCATAAGTCATAACAAATATTTAAGTAGAGCTACCGATTTATCCATAAATCAAAATAGTATCAACTTATAACTCTTAGGACATCTCCAATTGTCAAGATTTTTTTATTAGTTTTTAAGAAGTCAAGTAGGAGAGAGAGAAAAGGAAAATGAAAAAAAAAAATTCTGACAATTAATAAAAAAGGGACATGCAACGGTCTAAATTTCAAAGTGACTGCCAGCTGGCGGCCACTCTGAAGCGTCCCAACGAGCGCACAGTGCGCTCCCTAGCCTCTCTCTTTTTTTTTTTTTTTTTTTTTTTTTTTTTTTTTTTTTACGTTTTTCTTTCTTCTTCTAAGATTTTTGCAAGAGAAAAAAAAAATATCAATGCTAACATAAGTGAAAAAACATACAACCAGATTTTAGCTTTGCAGAAATCAATATAAAAATCCCTATTTGGGATGTCCTTAAGTAGTACTCCGTATATAATATTGCAGGTTCAATTTTCAATTTTCTTGAATATATAAAAAATGTTATAAAAAAGTTAATAATATAAAGAATTTTAATATATTTGTCACGATTCAATTACATCATTTAGTACGATATTAGATAAAAAATAGTAATTTTTTTTTCTTTGGTCTATTATGCTAGCTAGGGAGCTAATTCTAATTTCCCTATTGCATATTAAATGCATTTTATATCATTTGTGTAATGTAAATACAAATAGCAATATTTCTCTTGCCTACCATATTCTAATTCTAAACTCCCTCTTGCAATATAACACCATTTTATATCATTTGTCGAATATATATAAATACATTCTTATATAATAATCAAACATGATAATAACCTCTTCATTTTAATTATATGAACAAATTAACTGCCCTAACGATACTTGACTTAACAATGAGTCAATTACTATGTGTCGAAAAGAGTACTAAACTTCATTATATTGTTCTATAGTATAATATAAAAGTATACTCATTATTATAAGGGTAAAAAAAATGTACAATGGAAAACATGCACTTCACTAAAGAATTTATAGAGTCATACGGTAGAAGCAAGCTAAGTTAAAAGAAAATGTTGATTTCCAACTAATTTACCAACCTAACTTCACAATGGTCACCTTCCCCGTACACCTCATCACCTACCCCTTGATTTTTAACACATTCAAACAGTTCTGGACTTAATAATAATAATAATAATAATAATAATAATAATAATAATAATAATAATAATAATAATAATAATAATAATAATAATAATAATAGCATTTAATTTCTCTTCAAATATAAAAATAAAATAATAAAGGAAAGAAATTAACTTGCAATTGAAGATTTTAAGCCATGTTTCCATTTATAGAGCAAAAGTACTTTATTTTCAATGAAATCATATCATAAATGTGTACGTGTAACGTGTGTATGTATATATGTATGTGAATGCGAAAAGTTTATTCCATTTGATTTTTTTTAAAAAAAAAAACATTATATTATTTTATAGAAATTTTTACAGTGTTGTACGGCATCAATACTTTTTCTACAATATATAAGTATATATGCTATTTGAATTGTATTAGATACTATCAACACACTTGTCTTCATAGTATTCAATACAATTAAATATACAATTAATTGTAATTGGTATAAAACACATTAATATAGATCGGCACTTAAAAAAAATATTAATTATATATACATGTAAGGTAATATTTTGATAAATATTTTAAACTCTAAATTAAAATATACTAGCACAACTAATAAGTGCATCCGATGATACGTAGATGTGCACTTAAAATCCGTGACTTTAGAAAGTACATTTGATGATATGTAACACTAACTCTCTTTAGTAAAGTTTATTTTAAAACTTATATCTTATTTTAAACTATAAATAAGTTATAAGTTCTGTTTGGTAAAACATGGAAGCTTAAAATAATAGCTTATTTTAAAATGGGTAGCGTTTCAAAATATGTTACTGACTTTTTAACTCTTTTTTTTTTAATCTTTATTAATTTACAAAAATGACACAATCTATGCTTTATTAATCAAAATCTTAATATCTTAATTTATGGCCTAGTTCTTTTGTCAAATGCTTAGTATAATAATAAAAATAAAATGAAAAATAAAAAGTTCACATGACATTCCAATCAGCACAAACTTATTGTTAACCTGTTAAAAATGCTAATTGTTCTTTTTTCCAAGTTCATGGATGAATTTGGAACTTCGAATTCGGTGACTTAACTAATATCCCTAAAATAATTCAATGGTTTATTTTTTATTTTTCCATAAATAAATAATAATATTAGAAACTAAATATTATTGTTCTAGTTGGAATAATTAAGTTCAAGGATAATAGAGATAGTATAGGTTACACGTAGGATATTGCACCTATCAATAATTATTACTTGCTAATATGAGAATCAATTCTTAAACATGGTGTTTCCTAACTACTTGGGTCCCATTTTATGATTGTGAATCCTTTTACGTCACCTTCTTGACTTTATCCCAAGGTCAACCCACCCACCCCCACACCTCTCACTCACATGAAAGCTCCTTTCCAAATAAACTTTAGCAAGAAACATTTGGATATTATTTTCTTCAGCTACTACTCCATGTATATATATATACTATAAATCTCGCGGTACGTCAACGAACTGATTGCAACCTTATCAACGCATACCACACAAAATTATAAGCAGTACAACTACACATATATACATACACATGCACAGTAGTATATTTACGAATGACTATACATATGTCTACGCACAATTCTACACGTCCAAATTGTCAAAAACAAACACTTACCGAGATGTTCCGGATCTTTCTTCGTCTGTCTTACGATCTGAGTCCACCCGACTAATCCCCGTTCGCTCCGGGAGGCACAGGAGCTGGCCCAAGGAGAATTGTCACTTGTGAGGATCGAACCTGGGTTAGTTATCCCTAGAATTGTCCCCACAAAGAAGCTCATTTGTCACTTGATTATATTTTTTTGTTGGGCAACAAAAAAAAAAACTCGCAACTACTGCCCGAAAGTGTGCGCAATGTAAACTCAACATTGTGACCTTAGCCGATAAAGGACCACAATAAAATAAATCAGCTTAGGTGGCCCATAGTTAATAATATTAAAATTTGATTAATTTTGAGTGAGAATAATTGTTGATTGTGAAAATCTTTGATGACAGGAGGTAATGATAATCCAGCGGCGCGTGAGACACAGAAATTTACGCAAGACATATTGTTATTTGCGATTGCTTTTAGGGGCATGTAGGCCATGCATGCAATCGTATATGCATGAAACTTCAATTTCATGCAAAGAACACTGGATTGAATCTGATTTCCAGAAGATGCCAACAAGGAAGAGACCAAACAACAGACAGGCAGACAGCTAAAAACCATGTAACTTGGTACTTTAGTTTTCGTAATTAATTAATTAACCCATAATTAATTGAGCTAAGTTTACGGGTTGGTGTCAGCACTCAGCAGCTTTTTTCATAATTATTAGCAATCATTCATATCCCATGGCACATCGATACATGTAGTTGTGGTAGTAGTTAAAAAAGCACTGTAGAATAAAAATGCAATAAATTAAAATTGACTGGTTCTGATAGATAAATAAAAACAAAATTAGAGAGTAAGTGACTCTCCCAAATAAGAGCGGTATTAACGTACTCTTTATACTTCAATAGGTTGAGAAAGTAGTTATGAACAGATTTGCGTGGTAAGAGAGTAAGTAGTAGTCAAAATAAATAAATAAAAAGATTAGGAAAATGTGTATATTCATTCATCCAAATCCCATGCATATATAACAAATCCCCATGTACACCCAATTAAGGGAAAAAAAGAAAGCATAATTATATATAGTGTGGATGGATATATATACACATACAGACCTAAAAAACAGTAATTAGTGTTACACTATCATCATAAAAGTGATTAAAAAAAAAAAAAAAAACCCCAAAAAGTAGAAAATCTAAAAGGCCAAAAAAAAGACAGAAATAAACAAAAGGGTAATTTTGAAAATGGTTTAATCAAAAGGTTGATAATACATATATCTTACAAGTCAGGAAATAAAGGGTCGTCGTCAAGAAGGAGATCAGGCCAAACCGAGGAAGGCGGAGCTCCGCCGTAGCTGGAAGCGCCACTACCGTCCACCGTGGGCGGCTCAGGGACGACCGGCGGCGGAGGAGGAGACGGTGAAAGAGAGGACGGAAGCCAGGGAGAGGTGGGCGAGTTTTCCCCGTCGCTAAGCACAGTAAAGCCGGAAATCCCTTGAGCTTGAACCATATTATTATTATTATTATTATTATCCTTGGAGGATTGCTGGAAGATGGCGGCGCAAGGAGGTTGAAGATCAGGGAGATGAGAGAACGGGATAGAAGAATCCTGGATAGCTTGTCCGAGGTTACTCAAGGTCAAAACGGAACTATCCATTTGGGTCGTCGCCGATGAGGACCCCAGAACTGTACTCAACAGATGACTGTACGCTTCCATATCCGAAACATTATTATTACTATTATTATTGTTGTTAGCAGTTGCGGTGTTATTGAGGTTGTTGGGCGAGAAACCGGGCCCCGGCGGCGGCGGCGGCGGCGCCGGAGCCGGAGAAGTCTGAAGGAGATACTGTAAGTACTGAAACTTAGCCATCTCCGATTGCAGCCTAGCCATGGCGGCTTGTTCTTCCCATGAAGATTGGTGCTGATCCACCAGCTCTTTCAAATTCGCCAGCGCTATGAGATGCGGCAAGCTCGAGAATATATCGGTTCTCGGGCGATGGGTCATCGGGTCATACCCCATCTGGATCAGTTTCTTCTTCAGATGCGTGTTCCAGAAATTCTTGATCTCGTTATCAGTTCGCCCCGGTAGATGAGTTGCAATTGCAGACCACCTTAAAAAAAAAAAACAAAAACAATCATTAATTTTCGCTAGCGATAGATCGAACTCTTAATTAAAAGTTGTGTAGAACAGATATTTACTTACTTGTTGCCAAGGATAGCATGGAGATTGAGAATGGTTTGTTCTTCTTCTTGAGAAAACTTTCCTCTCTTAATATCAGGTCTGAGATAATTTGTCCAGCGCAGCCTGCAACTCTTTCCACACCTATTAAGACCTGAAAAAGATAATACAAGTAATTAAAAACAAATTAAAACACAAAAAAATCACATTTCTTATATATATGATATGATGAAATTGTATGTATAGAATTGAACCTGCATGTTTAGGGAGAGCTCTCCAGCTGCCATGGCCGTTTTTGTTGATATAGTTGATAAGTTTCTGATCTTCTTCAGGAGTCCAGGGGCCTTTCTTCAGGCCAGTATTTTCATCACAGCAAGGAGACCTTCCCATATTCTTGCTAGCTAGGATAGCTATCCAAATAATACTAATAATAATAATATGTTTCCTTATGATTTGGTTGCCTCCCCAAATCCCACCTAATAACTCTCAACCTCGATTATATATACACACACTTTCTCTCTCCCCCTTCCCTCTATCCTCTTCTAGTCTACCAATGAAACTCCGCTTACGTGGACACCTTCCTCCTATTTAATTTGTTTATTCAGCATTTTTTTTAACTTAGGGAAAATCGGTCACCACTATTAGAATGTGTATTTTGGATGAAATATGTTTTGTAATTTTAACCGACAAAAAATTACAACAAGGGACAACTTGTAAGAGTACACTTATTATTTTCTTTGTTTATTGCGTGTTTATATACAAGAAAAGCATTGTGTAATCCATTTTTTTTCCAAGCTAATTGATTCAAATTACATGAGTACATATGGGTAAAAGAACTTGAGAAAAGGTAAGTATATACTTGACTTTGTGATTATTTATTAGAATTAGAATTATTTATTATTCACTATTAAGTATATTTATATTTGCTAATCTAGATGTTAGTTAGTAGAGTTGTAAATTGTAATCACATTAATAATTTAATATAGAACACATATAGAGACACTAGAGAAAAATTGAAATATCTTACAAGTAGCCATTAAAAACTATATATATAGTTCAGATTATATGTTTGAAACTTTTCATAAGAGGTCACAAGGTTGATTCAGGTACATTAAAAAAAACATGTATATAACCCACCTTAATTAGCTTTTTACTAAATTTATTTATTTTTATATATATCATTTATATGAAATACAAATCAATGAGGATAAATTTAATAGTCAACATACCATGGTCCTCTTTAGTAACATAATTAGCTTATCAGTCAATTTTGATTTATTTGACCACTATTAGGCGTTTGGCTTGATTAAATAGCCAATATGAGTGTTTGGTTAAGCATATTTTTGTACCAGCTTATTGCTCCAAAACACTAAAATTCAAAAAGCTACTCAAAGCGGTTTTTTCTATCAGCTTCTCGATAAAATAAAGCATATCCTTAAAGGTCATTTTGAATGTAATCAGTTATCAACTAAAAGCCAATTTGTCAAACATCTTTCTACAACCAGCTAATGTTATCAACTAATCAAACCCGCTAACCCAATCCGCTAACATATATAGAAGGGAAATGATAGATGTACTTGGCCCCTAAATATGTTGAAGGGAAATGATATACAATACCATCCCATGTAGACGTACTATATATTATAGCCCCTTAATATATGGAAGGGTAATGATAGATGTACTTAATATAATTCCTATCAAAGTTTAATTTTTATTGGGTGAAAAAAAAAAAAAAAAAGAGGATAAAGATTGTGGCCCATTTTTTTCTATATTAATCAAAATTTGTCACATTTTGTAGTAAAAATTGAGTATAATGTGAAAACATGTGTAACATTACTCTATTTAAAATCCAAGATAACTTGGGGTTGAGGGTATCTGCAAGAAAGGTACCACCATCTCCAATACGGAGTACTATAACGGGAAATAATCTCAATTTATATAATTAAACAGATTGTTTTTCTATCAATTCATAATAAACTTAAATGCGCCAGCATGGGTAGCTCAACTGGTCATAGAGGTGAAACTTTGGAAAAATGATCAGGGATCGAGTTTTATATGGTGCATACGGATGCAAAAACGACGTCGTTTTAATAAAACGCGCATCTCCCCTTTAAAAAAAAAAAAATCAAGTTCGATTCCCAGCAACAACATATGAACTAAAATTCCATAATCGATGAACTATAATTCCATAATCTAATCTATGAACTAAAAATTCCAGAATGAATGAACTAAAATTCCATAATCTATAAACTAAAATTTCAGAATCGATGAACTACAATTCCATAATCGATGAACTATAATTCCATAATCAATGAACTATAATTCCATAATCTATGAACTAAAATTCCAGAATGAATGAACAATATAATGTTGTTGCTAGGAATCGAACCTGCATTTTTTTTAAAGGGGAGACGCGCGTTTTTTAATAAAACGACGTCGTTTTGGCATCCGTATGCACCATGCATGGTGCATACGGATGTACAGCATAACTACCCGTGGTAGTGAGGGAGCAATTTCTCAAAGTGAGGGGGGCTCCTTGTGCGCAGTGAGCACTGGTCTAGCCTCTGTGGTTAGGGTTGTGGTTCAACCTTTTGAAAGAATAATAAACTTAAATGCGCAATATAAAAAATTTAGATTTTAGTGATATTATACTTTTAAAAAATAACTATATTTTTACAACTATACTTTTTATTTTGTTGTGAATTTTTTTATTAAAAAAAATGGAAAAAAATAATTTAGTGTAAAAATCAATTTTCTCATTTTAAAGTATTGCATGAACATAGTTAAAAGAAATGGTATATAAAATAGGTAACAAAACTCCATAAAGTATGGATGTTATGGCTTGATAACAACACCGGAATAGTTACAAATTTTATATTCTATATTATAATAATACAGAAAGGAGGGCATTTTTGTAATTTCCAACGTGCAGCATCAAGCAGTTGTAAATCGTATGAGAGTAGCACCTATTATGAATGACTTCTACCCTACGTACTCCCAATTCTAATCTTTTAATTTTACTTTATAAAGTGATAAATAAAGATTGGTAATTTTCATTATTTGAATTTACAGAAAAGTATTTATATCAAAATTTGTGAGATTTAGTAAAAGTTGGAAGTATAAAATGGGAGTACACCAAGTATTTTTCATTATAAAATAAAAATTATGACAGCCAAATTGATTAAGCTGTTAACTTAATAACCACAAAGTTACAAATTTGACTTTGAATGGGAGCGTTATATTGACTTTCTTGATAAAGTCTGTCAATTATGGACAATCTAGTATATACTATCCTATAGTGATTGTAAGTTTATTTTGTGTGTATATATATATATATATATATATATATATATATATATATATATATATATATATGGGGAAGACACCTAAAGAAGAAGAAGAAGCGAGTCATTGTCGAGAACAGGTGGCGACTGCCCTCTGGCAGGAGAAACTCCTCCATGCACGCAACACCAACCATTCTTTCATCACTCTTCATTTAATTAATTTTTTTATTATTTTATTTGCATGGAAAACCTTTTTCTAAACAAATTAATTATTTATTAATCTTACGTCCATGTCTATTCATGAGGACTATGGGTCCGCCAATGCACTGCCCAATTTCCTCTCTATTATGTCATGTGAGTGACTGTATATATTATATAAGCATAATATATATATATATATATATATATATATATATATATATATATATATATATATATATGCTAGCTACTACCCCCACCCCATCCATCCCTACCCTACCTCCTCTTCCTCTCCGTCCCCCACGTACACTCACATGAGACAACAACAAATATTATCAGCTGCCGGAGAATCACCATTCACCAACGACCGCTAGCAGCCGACCCTAAAAAGAGGCGGCGGCGCTCGCCGACCCGGCCGCCATGGGAGGTCGCAGGGTTTCAATATCATCAAATTAAGCGCTTTTCAATACTACAGTGCAATCTGACTGTACCGTATAATTTACCTTCTAACCTTCAAATTTCATAAAAATGAAATTAATTTAATACTCTAAGTATCCTATTAATTCAATACAATATATACATTAATAATCAAACATTTTAGCATAGTAATTGACAACAAATGTATCATCACAATACATAATAGTTGACATCGTGGTTATATTTTATGCTTAATGAACTTGCAATTTTTTCTTTTTTATTATTAGTTTTTTTTTTGAAGGTATATTATTAAATAAACATATGCTATAATTTTTTTTTTAAAAAAAAAATACAACACTGTTACGTACCATAAAAACAAATATTTGTGAACCCTAATATCGTATGATCAAGATCACCCTCTAACCCGATTCACTCACCCCCACAAATTAAAATATTTTGAATATTTTGGAGAAGAAACTAGAAAGGGTTTCCAGGTTGGATCTAATCTCTCTCTCTCACACATATATCATGAGAAATCAGATATTTATGCAGATGAGGGTTGATAAAACTTAAGGTGTGAATGGTTCACACATGGGAATCGAAATCGGAATGGGTATTAAATACTTGATAATTGTAATGAGTTTGTGTGAAAGTATTTTGCATGTTTGGGGTATGGTGGAATGTGAATGATTATCAATAATGTTGTTTGAATTTGTTATGATCCAATAATGGAAATAAAGATTTTAAAAATACAAGAACACAAAATCAAGACAATTGATTCTAATATAAAGACATCCAAAACACCAATATATATGAACAAAAATCTAAAAGCATTAATCAAAGGGGATGAGAATGAATAAAGGAATGAAAGGGGATGATACCCTTATTTGGGTATGAGTTTTTCAATTAAGGGGTATTTGAAACCTATAGTAGTGTTCTTAAAACCTATCAATCAAACAATACCAATCACTTTGATACTCATTCCTTAGAGTTAAACCTGTCAACCAAACACACCCTTAATTTACTGCCTCATTATTATCCAAAATTTCTTCTAAAAGGGTTAAATTCCCAACCCCAATACCCCTACATCCCAGCCCGACAGAGCATTTGGAATGATATAAATCAAGATGACTCAATGGCTAAACAATCAGGGCCAAAACTAGGTAGAGGAAAACATGTGTGAATTTTCATGAATTTTAGTTTCGTACGTGGATGTCGCCGTTAATAACAAGAAGGAAAGAAACCTTTTTTTTCTTCTGGATGGAACTTACAGTTAAGATGGAGACCGGAAACGATGGGGACCTGAATGTTGTGTGTGTTGACCATTGATGAGTGTGTGCTGGTTAGAGGGGAAGTTGGTGCAGCAAACCCTTTCATTTTTCACCTGCTTTGAATCCATTCCCACAAACACACACCTTTCGTTTACCTTAAGCTTCCTTAGCTTCAATTAATGTCTTTTTTCTATTTGTTCCTGTCTTTTGTGTGTCCCCTTGCTCTTTGTCCTGTATCACACAGGGTAACAGAATTGTAATGTACGTAAGTTTTATTATTATTTTTTTTTATTTTTGTCAAATTTAAGTAAATGATTGAAGCCAACAATATAATGCCCGTGCCTTACATGCAAGGAATAATGAAGGAACAACAGAAATCCCAGGAAGAAATCATGCCGATAGTTTATATTTAATTTAAATAGCAGTACGTCTAGCAGACATGAATTTAAAGAAGATAATAATTAAGTTTTTTAAAAACACTTGGGTGATCCAGACCCGACTAATCCTAAGCCCATAAGACCCTGCCTTATTGTCACTAGAGAGGTAAATCGCGAGTCACTCAATCAGCCACCGGTCAGATCCTCGAATCCTAGTCTTCAAGCTAAGTAAGCATAAAGGACCCAATCCAGATTGACCTTCCAGCACACCACCACCTCCGTCATGAGTCATGACATTTAAGCCAGGCGACAAACCAACTACCGAACTACGCTAAGTCCGGGGCAGATAATAATTAATTTGTAGGATAGGAATGAATTAATCATGAAATTTAAGACGTTTACATAAAGGGAAAATTAACTTTTTTCATAGACTAATTAATATTTTATTGTTTATGTCCAAATTCATTAGTGACTATGAATTTGGTTCTTTTTAAACAAAGTTTAAAGTTTCAATTTTATCATTGAATAACAAGTATTGAGAATGTTATTCGAGCAATTGGGTTTCAATAACAACTCGATTCTAATTAAAATTATGGCAATAGTTAGAATTTATTTAAAAAAATCTATTTTTTTTTAATGCTACTGGCTCTATTACAATGTAGTATTGTTCATATACTGTCTCAACCGACTAAAACACGAAATACCAATAACACCTCCAATGAGGCTTGGACTTACAACCTTCCAAATGAAAGTCTAACTCGGGTACCATTAGACCACATAATTTTGGTGATAAAAAATCTATAGTTTTCGATAAAAATGATATTTTCAACCATTTAAGGATTTGAAAAATGCTTTCTTTATTAACTATCAATAAAATTCATTTAAAAAAATCGATCACTAAATTTTTTTTCTAAAAAAAAAAAAAAAAAAAAAAAAAGAAGAAGAAGA